CGTAAGCATCATCATCACCATCATCCGCATCATCACCATCATCATCGTCGTCGTCGCCATCATCCTCACTCTCATCCTCATCAGCCGCATCAGCTTCATCAGTATCATCATCATCAGCAGCAGCAGCATCATCATCACCCTCATCAGCATCATCATCACCGTCACCAGCATCAACATCAGCATCATCATCATCAGCATCACCATCATCAGCATCACCATCATCAGCATCATCAGCAGCAGCATCAGCAGCAGCATCAGCATCAGAATCAGCATCAGCATCAGCATCAGCATCGCCATCATCAGCAGCAGAATCATCATCCTTATCAACCTCACCATCGTCCTCATCAGCCTCACCAGCGTCATCAGTATAATCATCAGCGTCATCATCGGCATCATCACCAGCATCACCATAGTTCTCAGCACCATCCTCACTCAGCACCATCACCATCATCACCATCATCATCATCATCAGCATCCTCTTCCTCAGCATCGGCATCAGCATCACCATCATCATCAGCACCATCATCAGCAGCAGCATCATCAGCATCAGCATCAGCATCAACCTCCGCATCAGCATCAGCATCAGCATCAGCATCGTCATCATCAGCAGCATCATCAGCATCACCAGCATCACCATCTTCATCAGCATCATCAGCATCATCACCACCACCACCATCATCGACATCACCATCACCGTTCCCGTCACTATCACAATCACCATCATCAGCATCATGACCACCACCACCATCCTCATCATCATCAGCATCATCATTACTAGCATCAGCATTATCATCATCATCAGCATCAGCATCATCATCATCATCATCAGAATGAACCTCACTATTATCATCATCATCAGCAGCAGCAGCATCTGCACCATCATCATAAGCCTCGTAATCAGCATCATCATCAGCGGCATCACCATCATCGGCGGCAGCATCATCATCAGCATCATCATCATCAGCATCACCATCCTCAGCATCATCAGCATAATCATCAGCAGCATCATCAGCATCAGCATCAGCATCAGCATCAGCTTCAGCATCGTCCTCATCAGCAGCAGCACCATCGTTAACAACCTCAACCTCATCCTCATCAGCCTCACCAGCTTCATCAGTATCGTCGTCATCAGCATCATTAGCCTCATTACCATCATCACCATCTTTCGCAGCATCATCAGCACCATCACCATCATCATCAGCATCATCACCATCAGCATCATCATCATCATCATCATCAACATTATCATCATCATCATCATCATCATCATCATCATCATCATCATCATCATCATCATCCTCTTCATCATCACCATCATCATCAGCATCACCATCATCATCAGCACCACCATCAGCAGCAGCATCCTAAGCATCAGCATCATAATCAACATCAGCATCAGCATCAGCATCAGCATCAGCATCCGCATCGCCATCATCAGCAGCAGCATCAGCACCATCTTCATCTGCATCATCAGCATCATCAGCATCATCACCACCACCACCCTCATCGACATCACCATCACCATTCCCATCAGCATCACAATCACCATCATCAGCATCATCACCACCACCACCATCCTCATCATCATCAGCAGCATCATCATTACTAGTAGTATCAGCATCACCATCATCATCATGATCATCATCATCATCATCATCATCAGCAGCAGCATCATCATCATCATCATCAGTATGATCATCACTAGCATCAGCATCAGTAGAAACAGCATCTACACCATCATCATCAGCCTCATAATCAGCATCATCATCAGCAGCAACACCATCATCGGCGGCATCATCATCAGCATCATCATCATCAATATCATAATCATCATCATCAACAACAACAACAACATCATCATCATCATCAGTATCATCATCAGCATCTCCATCATCATCACCAGCATCCTCATCAGCAGCATCATCAGCATCCTCATCAGCATCAGTATCACCAGCATTATCAACGCCATCAGCATCATCATCGTCAGAAGCAGCAGCAGCATCATCACCACCACCACCATCATCATATGAACATCAGCATCAACATCATCAACAGCAACAACAGCAATACAACCAACATTATCATCGCCAACACCAACCTCATCCTCACCGACATCGCCATCATCATCATCATCATCATCATCATCACGGCGTCGGCGTCGGCACGGCTCCCATCGCCGTCGTCATCATCATCATTATTATCATCAGCATCACCATCATCATCATCATCATAATCAGCAGCGTCGTCGTCGTCATCATCGCCATCATCAGCATCATCATCAGCTTCATCATCATTACCACGATCCTCTTCATCATCAGTATCGTCATCATCATCAGCAGCAGCATCAGTATCAGCGTCAGTATCAGTATCAGCAGCATCATCATCAGCGTCATCATCATCATCATCATCAGCAGCATCAGCATCAGCATAATCATCATCATCAGTATCATGGTCGTCATCATGAATCGTTCCTCGTACCACATGCATGGCTACCCCCATATCTAGCACCAGGGTCAACGACTGACTGCCCTGAAAAAAACTGACGGGCGCAGCATCGGGACGAGACGCAACTTGCAGCAGAACCATGAAGAGTAAGCCCAGGCCAGCTGACGATCGGCGCTGCCAGGCTTCAGTCGTTCATTTCCTGCCCACAATCACTCGTGATATCCAGTCTAGCCCCTCGTAGAGGCCATCGCCAGTCGTGGCGCAAGCCGCCTGGATGAACCACCGACGACTGCTCAAATCGTTCAGGCCGAGCTTATCGGCCAACTCTGCCGCAGGCATCGCATTCGGAATGTCCTGCTTGTTCGCGAAGACGAGCAGGAAGACATCACGCATTTCGTCCTCTCCTAGCATCTTCATGAGCTCCTCGCGCGCCTCCTCGACACGGTCACGATCGCTGCTGTCCACTACGAAGATGACACCCTGAGTGTTCTGGTAATAGTGACGCCACAGAGGGCGGATGGTGTCCTGACCTCCGATATCCCACACTGTAAAACTAAGGTGATTGTGTTTGACGGTTTCCACATTAAAGCCAATCGTCGGAATCGTGGTGACAACCTCGCCAGCCTTCATTTTGTACAGGATGGTGGTCTTACCAGCAGCATCGAGGCCCACCATGATGATACGCATGTCGCCCACGCAAATGATCCTGGATAAGACCTTGTTGAGTACTATCCCCATAAATGCGATGCGCCTCCACTAACTAGCAGGCAGCGAGAGCCCGTGATGTGGCCAGGGAGAGCTCTAAAGCTTCGAGTTCAAATAGCTGTTGATATCGTTGCCTAGAAATGTGACTACGGCTGTAATGGTGAATGGATGACGGTCCTGATGGGCCGGCGATACACCACTGACGATCGACACCACATTCCGAATGGAACCAGAATGTACCAAAGTGTTGACGCATGGTAAACAACTGGCACGACCAACCACCAGGTGGAGCCCAGATGCCAAAGAACCCGAAGCACGAGGTGATGCTAGGGGAGAAGCAGCAGGGATACAGTTAATTACATGTGAGCGATGCGCAGCCTGTTACTGTTCCATGGACCGACAGCGCGCGTGGAAAATGGTGAGGCGTGCAGACGCGCGCACCATCGCGCCTCATCGCAGGCTGTGCAGCTTAGATATGTGCGCGTCACAACTTTTCAATCCAGTCATGGCATACACCAGAGGCACTGGCCATCGCTCGGACGTCCATTTCCTGTGTTTTTTTCGGTTTCGTGCGTGGCTTTTTCGCCAAATGATCAAGGATGCTCCTCGATGGTCCTCGGCGAAGGAAAAATGCACACGTCCGAGCGATACCAAAGGCAGAGGAAAAAGCGTGCGCATTCTCACGAGCAGCTGCTTCCAACAGGCGATTCAAACAAGCACAGAACGCGGCATCCGTACAGCGTCTCGTAGAGCGTGCGGTGCACGACGAATAGTAAAGCACACTGGCTCGATGCGAGGCTACACGAACAGGATCCATCGTCCTCTCCCCATCCCTCCTCCATCCCTCCTCTCCCATTCCTCCTTCCCCCCTCCCTCCCTCCCTCCCTCCCTCTCTCCCTCTCTCCCTCTCTCCCTCTCCCACTCTCTCTCTCTCTCTCTCTCTCTTTCTGTACATAGATGTATGCATGTATACCCGTATACTTGTATACACATGTGCGCACATCCGCCACCGTGCCCTCAGACACTAGTTGGAGTCTCCTCAGGTCCCTTGGAGTTCAGCCTCATCAGTCCTGAGCGAATGAGTTTACGGGAGGTTCGCGTCGTGACGACCCTGGCGTTGGTTTCTGACACCGCGTGGATCGTTCAACCTTAAACGATCGGCCGTTCCCGCAACGTCCAATCGTTCAACATCGACCGATTCTGGGTCGCCGGCGGCGTTCAACGTTAAACGCCGCGGGCGGGGTCGCCGACGGTCGACACGACGCGAACCTGCCGTAAGGGGCCCGGACCCCCAATGTCACGGACCTCCCCGGGCGTGCCGCGGCTCTCCCGAGGCTCGGCGCACGGCGTCGCCCGACTTTGCCAAGGAGCCAGGAAGTAGCCAAGAAGCTGCCACGAGGGCCCCAAGGGGACCCGAAGACAGTCCAAGAGAGGCCCGAGTCGCCAGAATATCGCGCCGAGACGCACGGTGCCGCCCCCAAACGGCTCAAGAAGCCACCGAGGCGCCCAAGGAGGACTGCAAGAGCGCTTCCAAAGGCGCCCCGAGAGGCCGAAAGCATTGACGTTCCTTGGGTTTGAGGGACTTGACCGTTCTCGCCTGTCCGGGCTGCCAGCGATCCAAGACGGCCCAAGAAGCACCCAAGACGCCTCAAGACGCGGCGGCCTAGGATTGGCGGCGCGCAGAGGGGGGTAGGGGGAGGGGGGAAGGCTTCTTAGAAGCACCCCTGCTTCTTAGAAGGCGCGGGCCTTCTCTATAGACGTAAGGCCGAGGCCTTCTAAGAAGCAGGGTGCTTCTAAGAAGCCTTCCCCCCTCCCCCTACCCCCTTTTGCGCGCCGCCAATAGGAGGCCCCCAAGAGGGCACCAAGACGGCCCGAAAACGGAGAGCACGAATGGGCTTCCAGGAAGCCTCAGGAGGCCCCCTTAGAGGCCCCCAAGAGACCCCAAAACGCTCCCGAGGTGCTCCCCAAGAGGCCCCAAGAAACCTCCAGCAGGCCAGGAAGCGCCAAAGATCCCCAGGAAGCCCCCAGGAGGTCCGAGAGATCGAGGTATAACTGCAGGAGCCCGAATGACGCCTTCTGATCCCCTGGCCACAAGAAGGGGAACACGAACCGACATGTCGAGCACTCCGCCCAAAAGATAACCGCCGAGACCGCCTGTTGGCCCCCAAGGGGCCCCCGAAAGCCCCGAGAGGCGCCCAAGTAGCCACATTCGAGCCCCCGGAAGCTCCCAAGAGGCTGTCGAGAGACCCAAGAAACCTCCAAAGCCACACCCAAGAAGCTTCCGAAAGGCAACACAAACAAACATATGTGTACACATAGTAAACATACATGCATGCATGCATGAATACGTACGTACGTACGTACGTACGTACGTACGTACATACATACATACATACATACATACATGCGGACAGACAGACAGACATACAGACAGACAGACAGACCTACATGCATGCATGCATGCATGCATGCATGCATGCATGCATGCATGAATACCTAAATACAGTCATACATGCACGCATGCATACATACAAACATACAGACAGGCAGACAAACAGACAGACAGCCAGGCAGAAAGACATGTATACATACATACAGACGTACAAGCGTACCATTAAACCTACATACATACATGCATACAGACATACACGTATAAGCACATGTGTACGCACAAACGTACATACGTGTATACATAGTTGCAGCGGTACATTCATGTAGACATAATGCATGCATGCATGCAAACATGCATCAATGAATACATACATACACGCATACATACATATACATACAAGCATACATGCAAGCATGCACACATGCAAACAAACATACATACATGCATGCATACATGCACGCGTGCATGCATACATACATGCATACGTGCATGCATGCATACATGCATGCATGCATACATGCATACCTTGATACGTGCAGACATGCATACATACCTATACATACACGTACATGTATATACATGTGCGTACAGTTGCATACATACATATACACATGCATACCTGCATACATACATACATATGCATTCACATACCTACATACCTTCATATATATATATATATATGTATATATATATATATATATATATGCATGCGTGCGTGCATGCATGCATGCATGCATACACATGTACCTCCATACAGACATGCATGCATACATACATACACACAGAAATGCATGCATGCATGCATACATACATGCATGCATGGATAGATACATACAGCTATGTATTCGCGCAATCATACACACTTACATTCATACACATACATACATACATACATACATACATGCATGCATGCATGCATGCAGACATACATACATACATACATACATACATTGTCTCTCTCTCTCTCTCTCCGAATCGAGCGCCGCACCCGACTAATGTCAGGCGCGATCGATCGACAGTTGGCCAGAGCGTTTCGCGTAATGACAGACGAACGACGGGGCGGGCGAGGCTAAGCTCGCCCACCGCCACGCAACGCAAGGAGGCGGGCCGGCCCTCGGGAATAGGCAGCAAGCCGAAAAAATCGCGGACGCCTCTCGCCAGGAGTTGAGAGGCGTACGACGTCGTCGTCCTCGTCGTCGTATTCGTCGTCGTCGTCGTCCTCGTCGTCGTCGTCGTTGGCTTGGTCTATGGCATATCGGGGCTAAAGGCCCGATGGTCGAGGTTCTGGGAAACCATCCTTGGCCACTTTGGGCCTACTTGTGAGCGTCCCGGGCGATCTGGGAGCTCTCGTGGACCGCTCTGGGGCAACTTGAGAAAAAAGGGGGATCTGCTGTTTCTTTCTTTTTTGTCGAGTTGTTGCCAGAGGGGTGCGACAGCAAAGTCTCTGCCAAGCGAACTTGGAAAAAAGGCAATGTTGGAATTCAAGTGCCATCGGGGCCTCTTTTGGAGCTCTTTTGGGACTCTTTAGGGTTTCTTGGGGATCTCTTGAGGCCTCCTGGGGATTTCCTGGGGCCACGATTGGGTCCGTCTTGGACGTCTCTTCGGCTGTTTGGGAGCCGTCTTGGGGCCGTCGTTGGGCGTTTTCGAAACCTGTTGGGCCGTCTGAGGGCGATCATCGGGGCCTCTTGGGGCGTCTTGCAGCGTCGGGAAGCGGAACAGGCGTAAACGCCAAAATTGCTCAAAAACCCTAAGAAAATCACTGTTGCTTGGCCTCTTCGAGCTCTCTTGGGAGACCTCTTGGGAGCCTCTTGGGTATCTTGGGGGCCTCTTGGGCCGTCTGGGAGCAGTTTTGGACGTCCTGGACCGTCTCGGGGGCCGATTGGGGCCTTCTTGTCCTGTTTTGGCACCCCCTTGGACTCCCCGGGCCGTCTCTGGGAAGCGAATCGGGATGGTATCAAGACGCTTTTCGGGATGGTTGCGGAGTGGCCGCCCCCAGGCCGGGGGGGGGCATGTATTTATTTATATACACACTCACACACACACACACACGCACACACACTTGGTGTATTACCGATCTCAACCACTTTTAGCTGGCGACGCGTTTCGGACTCTAGGTCCTCTTCTGGGCCAAAAGGTTGCGGTCGGTGTCCCACGCGCGTGCCGTGCAGCGAGCGAGCAAGGCAGCAAAAGGTCAAGAGTGCGGGGGTGAAAAAACCCTCTCCCACCGATAGAGGAAAAAGACCTATGCACATACACCGATGTTTGCCAGGTCCATCCTGAGCCCAGGATCGGTGCATACGCCCTCCTGCCTTGGCCAGGAAGGCACATGCACCAATCCTGGGCCAAGGATGGGCCTGGCCGGCATCGGTGCGTGTGCATAGTTCTCTTCGCCCGAACCGACTCTTCCCTGATGGGTGCCCCATCGCCTGCGCCTGGTTTCCACCACCACCACCACCACCACAAGTTGGAGGGGGGAAGGAGGAGGAGGAGGAGGAGGAGGAGGAGCAGGAGGAGAAGGACCCCCTCCACCTCCAACTTGTGGTGGTGGTGGAAAACAGGCCCATGAGACTCTTCCCTGACGGGTGCCCTATCGCCTGCGCCTTGCTCTCTCCCGCGACGGTCTCCGCCTCCAGCTTCCTGG